TTAAGTTTGTGCAAAATATCCGTCTGTCCGTCTGTCACACTCAGATCTCGAAAACTAGAAGAGAAATGAAAAATATTATTTCACCATTAAATACGGCTTGAAAAGTTTAGGTGCAACGGCTACTTTTGGTTTTCTAAAAGCAAACCGTTTAATTTATAAAATTAATTATGCAAGCGATTTTTTCATAAAAATACACCAATTCTAAAACAACGTAAATGTAAGGGAGGCAATGTTACAATATGCTAACAAAGACTAGTGCGGCAATTGTATTTGCAGTATCACCAAGTCAAATATTTTTTATAGAATGTACTACAAATGTTTACAACAAATATAAATATTAATTAGAGATGGGGTTTTTTTGGTCAACTAGCTGCTAAAATTAAAAGAAAAAAATTATGTTTGTTTATAGAGGTCTGTCCGTCACGTTTAAGACTAAGACTAAGACTGCTTTATTGATCCTTACGGAAATTTGTTGTGATTACAAGGACTCTTTTCTCATATAAAAACAACACAACAGAAAAATACACATAAATACAACAGACAACATAAAGAGTTCATTCAGCGACTATATATACACACAGGTACCTTGGTGCATTTCATGTGCCCTGATCAATTAGTGGCGGTGATAGAGTCTGACCGAGTGAGGTACGAACGAGTTTTTGTACCGCTCCGTTCTTGTTTTGATTGACAGCAGTCGCCCACTTCGCGACGACCTGGCGTAGTTCTGATGGAGCGAATGGCCGTTGTCTTCCAAGATTTTTTTGATTTTTCTTAGGCACGTTTGTTCAAAAAGTTCCTTTAAATATGGTAATGTTGTGAGTGTCGCAACAGTTTAGATGAGAGTTAAGATTTAAAAAAACAACAAATCTAAAAGCTATTGAAAATCTGATTTACTCTTTAATGTTCCTTCCGTAACATCTCAATAGCTTTAAGTATCTAAAATTGATTGTTCCGGATTTTTGTGTGCAAAACTAATCAACGTCAACGAATGTTTGTTTGCTCTTCTAACTTATATTACATTCAATTCCCATGCTTAAACGTTGCAAAAACACATTATCAATAATATGTTGTTCCGTTTTTTTTTTATGTAAATAGCATATAAATGCTAAATCGAAATCTCTATACTGACTTATATTTCATTAAGTGTAAAAATATTCCGGATATTGTTTTATAAAAAATGAATTATGTCAAATGATTGTTTGAAATCGCATAATTACTAATATTACATTTATATTCTTTGACAATGCGTCACTATAATTTGATTATCAATATCAAATTGTTTCGTATTTTTCATCTTTAAACAAATTTTTAAAATATGAACAATAGGTTGTTCAGGGCTTTAAAAAAAAAAGTAATTTACTAGAATTGATTACTGAAAATCACTTTTTAGACATTTAATTTTCTTGCTGAAACATAACATAAAAGTTTAGTAATCGATAAAGAATGTTCCGGATTTTGTTTTGAAAAGAAATCGACTTATATTACTTACAAATCTTCGCCAAACATTTCCGAATTTATTTAAAAATCTACTAACGCCAAATAACTGTTTGAACTCCCTCTTCTAATTAATAAACAAATAATCTTCTCATTTACGAAAAAATGTTGTTCCGGATTTTTATGAAAAATATTTAAACTCACTTCTCTCTTACAGTACATTTAATTTTCGAGCTAAAACATTACAAAATCAAATTATCGTTAATATTATGTTCCGATTTTTAAGGAAAACAACACCCAAACACAGAAGTAAGGTATGAAAATCTCTCCACATGACTGTAGTACAAAATCCCCCTACAGAGAGTTTTGAGGTTGAAAACCCCCTTTTCAATATTATTCTAAAACAAACTATATATATACACTCACCTAATTCTATGAGCGTAGCTAAATCGGGTTTTGAATTTGTTATAAAAAAAAAACAGATTTTTTTAGTTTAGAACCCCACAGCAGATGATTTTGACGATAAAACTTCCCTTTTCGATATAAAATATAAGGCAAACTACAGTTTAACCTATGCCTAGCTATTTTTTTCCTAAACTAAACGCTAATTTAGATCTGACTTCGGCACTAAAAGTTTAACATATGCCTAACTTTTTTTCCTATTATAACCGCTAATTTAGACCTGACGACGGCACTAAAAGTTTAACCTATGCCTAACTTTTTTTCCTATTATAACCGCTAATTTAGACCTGACGACGGCACTAAAAGTTTAACCTATGCCTAACTTTTTTCCTATACTAACCGATAATTTAGACCCGATGCCGGCACTAAAAGTTTAACCTATGCCTAACTTTTTTTTTCTATACTAACCGCTAATTTAGATCTGATGCCGGCAATAAAAGTATAACCTTTTTTCCCTACACTAAACCTAACCTAAAGCTGAAAATGTTCAAGTCGCGCATGCAAGTTTTGGAAGTAGAAAGGAGCTAATGTATACCTAATGTCATGAACCTAATGAATTGATCTAACCCTAAAATCTACCTAGCTATTTAATTAATGATTTGATGGTTCGAACGAGTAATGACGTAGTTCATAGGCTTACCGGTATGAATTTAAAGAAATAATATTAAATTTCCATCTTCATTATATATAGATTGTTCAAAGTATTGTTATAACCCTACCTTGCACACCACTTTGGCTCGAGCTCTACTAGACTTAGAAGGGATGTTGACATTATCTGATTTGATTTTTTATTTTGGGCACATCGACACAATTTAGGCCATGTCGTGCCTGCATTCCCTTAAGAACTACTCTCTCTCTACATAACAAGGGCTAAATTCTATATAGTTAAATCATCTTACAATTAAGATCCAGCGGAGTTTAACCCAAGTCTACGGAAAGAGAAGAAGCTGTGCTAAAAGGCTGACTAATATCCTGATAATAAAGACCTTAACTCTTTATCTCCGTAAGTATTTCCCCTCGTTCTGACAGAATTGTTCATTTTTCACATTTGTACTTCTACCTTGTAATGAATACATTCATTTTTGTTGCTAATCAGAAAACTTTTGGAATAGAATTTTAAGAGAATGCGTGCTCTTTTTATACAACACAAATTAAAGTTTATACAAACCAGAAAGTAATTTTATTTAATGAGATCGTATCGCTAATTAGGAGAGAAAGAGTTAATTTTGCGTTTAGACACTTTTATATCTTCAACAGACATATGTCAGCGAAATTCTCGTTTGTAGGTCATTTTCATTAAATCTATGTTATATTTGTATATTATATTTGTAAGTTACTAACCACTGAGTGATTTATTTATCGAGAAATCCGATAACAAAATAGCGCGGACTTGTATATGATGTGTATACAAGTACAGGATTGTGCTGGGCAGCATTTTCCCATCTTTTCAATAGTAATCGATCTGAAAGTATGCCATATTTGCAGAGCACAAGAGTACTTTTAACTTTTATATCATTCCCCTTTTTCACCAATGTTTAAAATACATAACTTGCTAAAAATAGGATTTTGAAATGCGTTGACCACGTTCAAGCATAGATGGAATTTCTAAGTGACTTTCCTACAATTTAACTTTGTAAAAGTTTATGTGTGTGTGTGTATAAATCTGACCAGTATCTTTGACTGTTTTCAAAGTAAAGTTTTGGAATGTAAAAAATTTTATATTTTGAAATTATTCATTTTAGTTTATGACATAGACTATATGGTTTATGATAATTTTTGCTTAATATATATATATGTTGTAAGATATCTAAAGTGTTTCCTGCAAAAGGACTGAAAAATAATGATTACAATAAAACAAAAATAATATTGGCTCTATTAGCCTCTATAATTATTAACCAATGACCAAAATTCTGCCAAGTCACTGGTTTTCCTGGTTAGCTCAGGCAACCCATTTCATGCTCTAATAGCGCTTGGGAAGAAAGAGTATTTGTACTAATTTGTCCGAGCATATGGGACGAGGAATGTGCCTTTATCTTTGTGTCTTTCTGGGTATTTTATTAAATTTCATTATTGTATTTGAAGATTATGGTTGTGTTTTATGTATAATTGCTACTTTAAAGTCTTCTAACCTGAAGGCTTACTAAATTTAGGGATTTTACTAAAGGTGTTACTCTAGTCGAATGTGAATATTCGATTGTTATGAATCTCACTGCTCTATTTGTTACTAGTTTACCATGAATAAGATAAGAGGAAATTTTTTTTTTGTTACTCTTAATAACTGACATTTTTCTATGTTGAAAGACATGCTCCAATTTGATTCCCATTTCTGTAATTCATCTAATTCTCTTTGTAAAATGTCTGTATCTTGTGTTGTTTTTATTATTCTATATATTATGCAATCGCCTGCAAATAATCTGACTTTTGTTTCTGAACTAATGCAATTTGGTAAATCGTTTATGTAAATTAAAAATAGTAGTGGACCTAAGACTGTTCCTTGTGGTACACCTGAGTTTACTTTTATTGGTGTTGATTTAGAGCCATTTAAAATTATTATTACAGTTTGTTCTCTCCTTATCAGAAAATCTTTAATCCACTGATGCAATGGACCATCAATTTGTCCACAAAAGGTGAAAACGTTCAAAGAAAAAGCGTTAACTAGGAACACTGTGGCAGATAGAATAAATGACATGTCAGTTAGCTTGTTATTCTTTCCTGGTTAAGAGATGCCTGAAAAGGTATTTTGAACACTGGTACTAGCTCATTGCTTAGTTCTTTAAGTAATCTAGCTGGAATACCATCAGGTCCAGATGCTTTATTAGGTTTGATGTTGGCTAATAGTTTTTGGATTCCCTTTTTTCTTGTACTTCTATATCTCCTAAGTTGTCTATTTGGTTCAAATGAAGTAATATGTCTTTGTGTCCTGGGGCTGAGAATGCTGATGCAAAGTATTTGTTTAGGATGTTTGCTTTAGTTTCATTATCATTATGTTCTCCTTCTATAGAATACCTTCTTCTTGCACTTGGCTGGTTATATCTATTCTAACATAGTAGAGAAGCACTGTGCAACTGCTTGTGAACTTTTTCAAATTTGAATGGTACAAACTAGTTCATTTTTTTTTATATATTTAATTTTCATTTTTTTACTTTTTAAAAAAAATTATTACAAACTTTTCAAATTGAACTGAACAGAAATGAGAATGATAGTGTATATATTGTAAACATATTCTTGTTGTGAGTAATGAAGCAAAAGTTACTTGTACAATAAGCTATTATCTTGTAATTGATGTGTTCTGAAAGATTACACCCACTTCCATGATTAGTTTTTGATTGAACTGTATTGTCAGGAAAATGATCCCTGCCACTCAGGCCCCTGCAAGACTTACTTGTCAGTGATTCTACACATTTACTTAGTGTACTTCATCATCAACTTCATCACTATTTGATTTCAAAAATGTATAATTTGATTTTAAATCTTCCTCTACATAGTTCAGTGCTTTCTGTCTAACAGTGAGATAAATATGTTTGTCAAGTGGGAACCTAAGAACCTTGTTGTTGTATTGATATAATAATCATCTCATACAAGAAATAGTACATAAAAAAAAACCTAATAAAAGACATTGTATGTAATACTTTCAATACATTATATGTAATACTTTATGTTAAACCCAAACACACAGAGTCAAGTTAAAGGCATAGGATACATGAACTAATAAATGGGAATATTTTAAAATCAACTTGTGTGCGTGAGAAATGCTGACAACCATGGAATAGCTCTGGGCATAAAAGTGTCATTTTCTCACTGTATGTTGAAAGATAAATCAAACCACTTTAAAAAGGAATTGAGCATAAACTAAACCATAAGTATTGAAGTGGTCAACAGAGTATGGCAATATAATTATATAATTTATTTATATAGTATCAAATTAGAATTGTTGATAGATCGACACGGTAATAATTAAATAAAAAGAAAATTTTGATAAAGACATTGACTGGCTTCAAGTTTTTTTTTGTTGCTATGAGCTATTGGGGAGTGAGTGGAAATCATGTCTTTATCACAAGATGTTAGGCTATTAAAAAGAGTGAGGCAAAAAAAAAAGAGAGGGGGGGGGGGCAGATTGTATTATTTTGTAGTGTTTTACAACAGGGAGGAGAAATCCCATGTGACATATTTTAAATATGGCTATCTAGTCATAAATCATCTCTCAGCATTTGAAAATGAAAAAACATTATTTGTAATGTATACATTTGAAAAAAAAACAACAAAAGCTTAGAGTCAGTGAGTTTTTTTTTTTTTTTTTACCCCACATTGAACTAGATGCGAGTCATTAGTTCTTAAAGATCTCTTAAATATTTTTCAGAGGACTAATTTGTATAAGTTGCATTTTGACTTTATCACTACTATTTAAAACAGAACCAATCACATGATTTGAATCTTTAATAATAGAATCATTGATGTACTTGAATTGATGTACTTGATCTTCAAACCAAATTATACTAAGAGAACAGCATTTATGCAGCCATCATTTTCAGGGTTGTTAGTAACTTGTGCATATTTACCTGAAGAGAAACAAGAGTATATAAAATGACTGTTAAGACCAGACATATAATAGCAGATTTATTTTAGAATTAGCTGAAACACGCGTCAAGATGTTATGTGATGAGCCATAATCATGCAAAATATTCAATGAAAGCAAAGTTATAAAAATAATATAAACTTCAGGATAAGGTCCATCAATCAATCATTCTCGAAAACTTTAACCTTGACTCAAATGAACTTTAACCTCCCAAATCCTCGAACATATCTAATAACTCATTCTAATTCTGTATATTTTAGTTAAGTAAAAAAAGTTAAAATATAATGAAGAGCAATATACAAACCCCAAACAATCTTTCCTGCATTGGTCACCAAACCAAGTTCACTAATATTAACCTGTAAATACAATAACAAGAATCAGCGTAGTACTGGGAATGAACAAAACAGAAGAGCTCATAACTAAATAAGTTGCAAATATTTAGAAAGGAAAAAAAATTCATCAGATATTTAAAAAATCCACAATACATAGTAGAAATAAAAAAACAACAACACTAAACTTCACACCAATATTTCCATAAGTCCTATGTCTTAAAATTACCTCTATAATGGTTCCTTTTGTGATGACTCCCAGGCTTGTGTACATAGCTGAACTAGGATTTTTTTTTACCCCTATTATGGGTAAGAAGAAGGAAGCTTTTAATTCAGGATGTGTCACATTTGCCTTTTTAAACCTAAGAGCCTGAAGAAGGGAAAATGAAGTAATAACAATGTACTCACTAAGAAATCTTCATAGAAAGCATGTAACTGACAAAACAGAAGCCATACTATTCATTCACTGAGTTCAATAGATTAATCATGATATCATACTGTTAAGATCTGAAATTTTCTCATATATATTTTGTATGTCAATTCACAGCTACTGAAATCCATTTTGAAGATACCGGTATAGATAAATAATTTGGATTAAGTAAAAAGAGCTTTTATTTCAAAGTCTTAACAAAACATTGAGTAAAGTAGCTAAATTCATACAAAAGCCTAGACATATTACAATCATAGCTCAGACTTTGAAAATCTTCAGTTCCACAAAATTTACCCGTTTTCTTATGCCAAACCAAAAATTAAAATGACACTCACCATTGGCCTAATAAATCTTTCAAACTTAACAGGCTTTCTTGTGAAGCCGTCACCAACATATGTTACTTTTGTCACCATTCTTTTCCAGGCTTTTCCTACAGGAATATATATATATATAAGAATATTTAAAAGCAATGAAGAAAGAAAAAAGTTTTCTTTTCAGCTGTGAATTAAAGAATGAGTAAGTTGACAAGTCTAATCAACATGAATGTCCAATTAGAACATTGATGTTTGCTAGATATAATAAGGTTTCAAAAACAAAACATCTTTTCTTCTTCCAACTTACTTTTTGTTTTGCCTGTTTTAACAACTTTAAAAACTTCTGCTTCTGAGACTCCTTTAACTTTTGGTATTGGAACATCCCATTTGCCCTAGAAGAAAAAAAAAGTAAACTTGGAACAATGGAAAATATAATGTATATGTTTGATTTGCACATTATTTGTATTTAAATATCAAGAGGTATTTATCAATGTCCAAGAATATTAAAAGTTAATGTGAAACTGAACAACAAAAACAAAAATGACTTTACTGAACAACAATACAACAGTGGTTGTCAATGACTTAACTGAACAACAAATGCACACAGTGGTTGTCAATGACTTAACTGAACAACAAATGCACACAGTGGTTGTCAATGACTTTACTGAACAACAAATGCATACAGTGGTTGTCAATGACTTAACTGAACAACAAATACATACTAATGATTAACAAGCAGTGTGTTATGTGACCAGCACAATGACCAACCACCTTTACTTTCCCCAACTAAAGTCAGGTAACCATTAAGTTGAGCGGACTCAGTAAAAAAAAAAAAAGTTCCCCTTTCAGACCTTGTGGTCTATGGGGCAGATGATGTAAAGGTTATCTGTTTCTGTGACCTACAAGGGTGTCATGTATCCCGCACAACGACCAACGGCCTTTACTTTTCCCCAACTAATGTCAGGTATCCGTTAGATCTGTGTGGACTCAGAGGCGCCCAAAGATGCCGGAATTAGAAATCCCAGTCTTCATCAGGATTTGAACCCAGGACCGTTGGTTCAGAAGTCAAGCGCTTTACTGCTCAGCCACTGCACCTCCTAGGGTGGACCCAGGGATGCCCTAAAAATCCAGAAATTCAAAATACATACAGTGGTTGTCAATGACCTAACTGAACAACAAATACATACAATGCTTGTTAATGACTTACAGCTTTTTCTTTCCGTTTCTGTTTAATCGTATTGGACAGAACTTTTGCCCTAATCTGATTCTCTCTTTCCAGTAAGTATGCAGGGTTACCAAATCTACCATCTGTGTCTGCAGCTTTTTGTTTAGTTTTTTTTTCCTCGTGCATCTTAATACTTTAACAGACAAATATTAAAAAAAAAGTGAATCTTAAATTTACAACAACTAATAAGAAAGAACAAAACAAAAAAGTTCCATCATTCCAAGGAACAGAAATAAATATTGAAATCCTTCTACAGACCACACTCAATTCAATCTACTCACTAAATGTCTATTTACAACACTGTGTATACTTACGTTTTCTTCATTTGTACTTTCTCTGCATGGCGCCTCTTATTGTATATTTTGGCCTTTATGCCTCTCATTTTCTTGGCCTTTTCGGCAAGCTCATGAGGCATACGCGCCTCTTTCTTTCTCCTGGTAATAAAACGAGAATATTTTCTAAATTTACTTACAGAACTTAATGTGTAAAAAAATAATTAAAGGGTTATGTCAGGGGGAAGTATGGCGAGAGTAAATATATTACGTTGATATTTTGGTATGATAGTTATATCCCATTGTTTATGTACTCACAGGTTATGAATGTGAATTGTCTTACACGTGTTATGAACTGAATGATTTAGTCTTCCTTGAATGTGTGAGAGAGTGTGTTAATCAGTGAGGTCTTGTTCCCGGTCCAGGAAGGTTGGTCGCTGGCTTCCTAGATTGGTGTTTTGTATTATGAGTGATATAATTGTGTGCTTTATTTGATATTAAAGTATTTTTGTTATTCATGAATAGCCGGAGTTAAAGTATATTTATTATTAATTGTCCTTATTTAAGTAACCTCTAACGAGCCAAGCAATAAAAAGGAACCCAACAGGTTAGTTATACTATTACAAAAACAATATTATATCTAGTTTGAAAGCAAAATTTTTTGGTTGATTAGAAGGAAAGCACAAGGTTAATCATTATGTTGCATGATTACTGTACTATTCTGGGGATGAATTATTCCTGTATTACTTAAAAATAATATATTACAATTATGATTAAACCTTTTGTGTACTTTTAATAAAAAAAATTAATTAAAGTAAGTTGATTGCTTTATAACAATGTTTCCATTTTCTTAATATATCAACTTTCTTGTATGAAGCTATTGTTATTGAAATCTGCCTTATCAGTTTCCATTTGCCTTTTATTAAAATGATCATTTAATCTGGGTTTTCATAGTGTAATAAAAAAAATGTATCTCAAATGATTAGACAAATAGCTATTTGTTATACAGGATATATATATTTTATTATATTTTTATCAACTAAAAACCATTATTTAACCATACAATGCTTCTGATTGGTTAACAATGACCAAATTAGCTATTATTAAATACCGTTCAGTAAAGTAGGAAAAGATTTAGTGACCATTTTGCATGTGAATTTAAAATTAAAAATGAACTCATGCCTTATCCTAACCGTAAAAACTAATTAAATCCACCACTCTCTATTTCGTGTTGAAGTAGATACTATAACCTTAAATGTCAATCATAATGTAAGGCATGAATAAATTTTTCTTATCATATAAAATAAGTAAATGAACTAAAGGATAATTAAAAATAATTTACATAGTTTTTTGTGTGAGTCAAGGATAGCAAGCTTGACATTCTAACCTACTATAAATTTAAACAAAGACCCTCAATATAGTATATATGTATAGTAAAAAAACAAACAACTTTATTTAAATGGAAACAAAAGTAATCAAGCCTTAACATTATATATATAAATATATAATATTTATATATATGCATCTAGTAGTAGTAGATATATGTATATATCTATATATATAGCTGCACAAATAATTTTTCAATTCTCTAAACATGAATAAGCTTACTTTTTTTCTTCATAATCCAGCCTTCTTCCATGACGTTTTGTATGCAACTCAATGTACTCATTCTGAGGCTAGTAAGATACAAATGTAAAAAAAAATACTAAAAATAGTCTATAGTATGCACATTAGAAATAAGTGGTAAATAAGCTCATGTCTAGAGTCTAGAGTGAGAGCAGAAAGAAAAGCACTGTGTCATGTTATAAGATGCATTACTGTCAATAGGGAAGTTACAATATTATGCTGCAATTCATTGACACCTTGGAGCAAAGCTAAAAGTAGCTAAAGAAAGTTTAAGTGTGCAGATTTTTCCCTTTGCAGATTCTCATTCCTTCCTGTCTCTAGAACAGTATAAATGGAGAAGATAGTAAGTTAGTC